CAAAAAAAAAAAAAAAAAAAAACTCTTTAGTGTAATTTTTCCTAATGTGATAACGTGGTGGGTATGATGTGACACTTCAAAAAAAATAAAAACACATTAGTATATTTTTCTCAAATGTGACAACGTAGCGGGTATGATGAAATACTCTATGTACTTTTTCCAAACATGACATGTGACACTCCAACGTAACGAGTATAATGTGATATTTAAAAAATTAAAAACTATTTAATATTTTTCTCAAATGTGATACTGTATTATGACGGGTTTGATGTGATACTAAAAAATTTTTTAGTATATTTTTTCAAATATGACACTCTAATGTAACGAGTAAATGAGCCATTATACATAAAAAAAAATAAAAAAAAATTAAATAAATCATAAAAAAATATAAAATTATATAAATTATAAGTTCAAAACATTGGACTTATCAATCAATCTCTCTATAAATAATAAACAAAAATACACGGTCTTAACTTGATGGTAATCTATCCATTAGCTAAAGTACTTTCTCCACTTTTTGGGGGCATTAATGGAGTAGGTTTGGCAAAACATCTAGGCTATTGATGCCATAAATATCTGAACATACAAGTTAATAGGGGTTAGATTTCAAGTTGTCAAATTAATATTTAGTATTGATTTAATACTCTTTTGTTGTGTGAATCCTGATTTATGTGAAACTTGTCTTAAGAGGTCAGGATAAATTTTCAAGTTATAGTCTTCTCGCTCGAAACAACTAACAGAACACTCTAATGATCTCTGCAATAGAGCGCTGCCTTAGACTTATGAAAAGGTGAGAAGGATTTTCCCGTAACTTAAAAAAAAAAAAAATACCAAACAAACAAACAAATTAGTGATAAAGCTTTCAAATACCAATGATCAATTTTAATCTGCAAGCTAAAATTGAAGGGAGGAGGAAACCTCGCTTATGTGACCGCTAATGATCAGTGGATATGTGGCCATGACAACAAGCATGAGCCTCCAGTTCAAAATGAAGGCAATGGTGAATGAGGTAACAACCAGACCGACATTCTCTATGAGAACTGTAGAGCGATCAACAACTACAGTACGCAACAAAGTTGCATCACTCTCTAAACGAGATGCGAGCATGGAACTTGTGTTGTTTGTGTCATCAAACCATCCAATCTCATTTCTCAAAATGGCTGCAACCAAATACAGAAGAAAATCAAGAAAAACAAAATAAATTCTTCAAGAAATAAACAAAGGACTATTTTAACTTCATAAATGTAAGGGTATAAACCAGTATTTTTGGTTTCCATCACCCATATAAAGGCACCAATTCATCATCTAGGCAATAAGGGAAGATGAATTCAATGTGAAAAATAATTTTCCATGTTTGAAAACATTGGTACTTCAATTTTTAAAACAATATTGTGTTCATCCAAATACCTCTTCATACATAAAAAAATCTTTTTATAAAGGGAACAATAGGGATACAAGGAGCAAATATGGCTATTGTCAAATTTACCAGAAAACATCATTTCTCGCACGCGAAGAGTAAGCCGCTCTCCCATGATTCCAAAGGAGAGATGTGCGATCACATGAACAATGACAGTTATGAAAGCACCTCCACAGAAGAGGACTGTGATCTTCTTGACTTCACGGCATGTTATGTCCCAGTCCATGTAGTATGATACAAGAGCCTGAGTGACACCAAGGGCGAAAAGAGGCACCTGTGCTCCAGCAATGAGTGCACAAATTGTGCCAGAAACCCCATACATCCAGTCAGGACCCACCATCAAATACAATCTTCCATTCGACACACGTGGTGGATTAACAATCTCCAAACCATCAACTCCAATTCGACCAACCGACACCTTATCAGAGTGAAAGCTTGTGTCGCGGCTTGTTGTGCGCGACAATTCACGAGAATATTTAATGCTATAAAAATAAAACAAGTAAACAAGATTTTGATACTTAGTCAGATTTTTCAGGAAATTAGTGTTATGTATGTTAAAGTTGCTTTATTTGAAAAGCAACAGTATTCTTTTGTTTCACTAGAAAATGGAATCTTTGGGAGAAACATCATAACAATTTGCATTGGACATGTACAATTTTGAGTATTGATGTTGGTATTTTTGATAAAGTAGTACATCTGACAATCCCCAGACCCCACAGTATGGGGAACCTCATGCATTAAGACTGCCATTGTATGTAACGGCAGCAAACAGCATATTTTGGAAAATTTAGCTGACTCTAAATGTAAATATGAAACGAAGTAAGAAAGACAAATTTCTCCATTTGCTTGGTCTTCCTTGCACGAGTGAGTATGCGGTCAACATAGCTTGGTCTTCCTTGCACCACTAACGTAATTTCTGTGCAACATTTTAAAAATAATTTTGAAGATTTAGCCACTAATACCAAATGGAGAATAAATGCCCTCCATTTCTGTTTAATGCAAATGTAACATCTAAAGAATTGATATTATTTCAGAAATTTAATGTATATACCTGAGTGGCCGTCCCAAAGCAGGTCCATGGGAAGGGAGGCAATGCAAGGAAGCTGCCTCTTGGAGTTGAATAAGTGATGCATAAGCACTATTTGGTTTCGAAATGAGCTGATCATGACTCCCGGTCTCCACTATCTTTCCACCTTGAACAACAGCTATTACATCTGCATTTCTAACAGTAGAAAGCCGATGGGCCACAACAATAGTTGTCCGTCCTACCATCACACGATCAAGTGCCTCCTGAACACTCTTCTCAGACCCCGCGTCAAGAGCGCTTGTAGCTTCATCCAGCAGAAGTATTGAAGGATTCTTTACTATTGCTCGTGATATTGCAATTCTCTGCTTCTGTCCACCCGATAATTGTATTCCCCTTTCACCCACCTGCAAATGAAGTTCAATTGTTACTCCTTTCACCCAAAAAATAAAAATCCTCCTATCCTAATGTTCTCTTAGGCAATGTTTGGACCAAAGATTTGAGGAAGGATTTGTAGAGGGAAAGGAATTAAGAAAAGAAAAGTGAATGAAATAGAAGATAAACTTTTGTCACATTTCCCTTTTCTTTTCCTTTCCCTCTCCAAATCTCTCCCCAAATTCTAGATCCAAACACATCTTTAAAGATTAAGATCACAACCTGCTAACTTTACAGTGTCAATTTCCAAATTTCATGTATATATATATCAACAGTTCCATATACCTGGGTTTCCAATCTATCAGGAAGGTTGTTGATGAAAGTGATTGCCTCCGAAAGTTTCACAGCACGTGTAATCTCTTCGGGGGAGGCATCGTCTTTCCCATAGAGAATGTTCTCCCTAATGGTTGTAGCAAAAAGTGCAGGCTCTTGATTAACCAACCCAATCTGTTGCCTGAGCCACTGGAGGTCAAGCTCTCTGATATTGGTTCCATCTAATAGTATCTGTCCAGAGATGGGCTCATAGAAACGCTCAATCAAAGATATAACCGTGCTCTTTCCCGACCCACTTCCTCCCACAAGGGCTACAATCTTCCCAGAAGGTATGTCAAGACACAGCTTGTTGAATATCATAACATCAGGACGAGATGGGTAGCTAAAGCATACATCCTTGAATTGGATATGGCCTTCATGATTGACTAGTTTCCTGCTGGTTTTCAAGCTCGTTTTGCTTATTGTGTTTCGTTCTATCATCTCAAATATGGGATAAGCAGCTGTCTTTGCTCGGATGAATGCAGAGATGTCAGGCGCTGCCTGTCCAAGTGACCTGTGAAGCAATAGGACCTTATAATATAATATGCTTATTTTGATGCAATTATCTTATCACGAAGCTTGGAATTGAAAGCCTTTGTTTCTAGTTTAGTACAAACATGGCATTTTGCAGATCATACAGAGCTAAAATTCAACATGCCATTTGGTACACCAAATATATGCATTTATCATAACCTATCATGACTCGTTGCAATTTGATTCATATTACACTAAGCAAACAGTTGGTTAATGCAGGGTACATACGAATGTTATAAATAAAATAAAAAAACAAAATCAAACCATTCTATCTTTAGAGTGTTTAAATGCACAAGCCTACGCGCTAGAAAGTGTCACTGCCAAAGTTGCAGACCAATGTCATTTCACATGATTAATTATCATCAGTTTATGATCAAATAGGCCCAAATTTTAATAGGTATGGGAAAAGCATAATGATGTTGCAGTTCGTTCCTGGTGGAACGGGTCGGACTAATCCACACTCCTCGAGCCTGTGTCCGAATGACCAAGCCCACGGGGGAACCTGCACAAGAGTTCAACGGGGAACGGGGAGTCCCCCAGCAAACCCTCCAACGAGCAAGTTAGAGAGAAAAGTGGAATGTGTAGATAGATTAGAGATAGAAAAGCTTAACCTTTTTCTTGTCTTCGACGTCTACTTATATCCTTTGGTAATCATTACGTTGTCTTTTCCGACCTGTTACCTTGGCCGAAAGTCTATGCTGTAGCTTACCTTGCTCAGGGTGAAGGTGTGCTGTCCCGACAGAAAGGGGTTATTGCAATAAATGCTGTAAGGGGCCTCATTAACGGCGATGTGCCGTGGCAATAACTCTGTAGATCTTTGTCTGCTGATGTGACTTGCCCTTCTCTTGCCACGTGTCTTGATGTCATTGGTTCTTGTTGCTATGTGGGGCTTCAGCAGTGTTGGGCCTTAGTATTTGAGATATGTATTGGGCCCTAAATGCTGGGCTATAGTCTTTATGGGCATACCCATGTCAGTAGTCTCCCATTCCCAAGTGCAACTTTAGTCCAACGAAGGGAATAATGAAGAAAATGAGGGCTGTGAGAGACCAGCGGGGTGAAAGCCGACCGAGAGGAGTGGCCGACCACGAAAGGTGGCCGAGTGGAGGGACCGACCATGAGGAGGGCCGACCGCGAAGGGTGGCCGAGTGGAGGGACCGACCATGAGGAGTGGCCGACCACGAAGGGTGGGTGGGTGGTAAGGCGCGGGGCTCGCGAGGCGGCGGGGTACGTGATAAAGTGAAGTGCAATAGACAGGGAAGGGGAAAGGGGTAGTGGATCGTGGTCGTACACGTTGCAGAATCTCGTAGTGGGGGAGGTGAGGCGTTAGGCGAAAAGTGAAACGATAGGTCATTTTAGGGTGTTGAAAAGACAGTTTTGGCAGATTGTTGAAAATTGTTCAAACTGGCGAAAATTAATTGTGACCCTTGGAATACGGGCAAGCCTTGGGCTTTTGATATTATCCGTTTTACCTACCTTTTTGCAAAAAAATCAGAACGTTCCAAGTGTTAACTCCTTCGTTGCTAGTGATACACCCTTACGACATTTTGTAGACTATCTCACACCAGCATCTGAAGCTATTCGCCGACATACAAGAGGGATGGCCCAAGAAGAAGGAACAGCCGCGAGGGTTGATCCATTGGAAGACGACGATGCTGTGGATTTGGCAGAACAATACCGGACGGAGAGGCGAGTGGGAGCCGGTGGGGCGACCTCGTTCGTCCACGGTGATAACGGTTGTGCAGCCAATCAGCCAGGTTGAGCCAGATCACTGGCATACGAAAGCCGACAAGTCGACCGTCACCGCGAAGGAGTTGGTGAGTATACGCGAGAGGTACCAGATTCCCGCAGAAATAGAGTTGAAGCTGCCGTCCACGAAGGAGAGGCCATCCGACACCTGACTGGGGGAGTTTGCCCTCTACGAGGAGGCGTTGAAGGGAGGGTTGAGGTTGCCGATTCCAGAGGTAGTAGTGGGTGTCCTAAACCGGTTGGAAGTGACGCCGGGTCAACTAATGCCCAACGCGTGGAAGATTGTACTGGCTTGCGTGAGCGCGTGGCCAAGGGCGAACGAGGGGGCGGCCATGACGGTGGACGAGTTTTTTGCGTGCTACAAGGCGTCGGGGCAACAAGAGACTTGGGTCATTTTGCAGGCGACGACAGGGAAGGGGCTGGTGGCGGGGTTGCCGTCATCGATAAAGGGGTGGAGGCCGTAGTGGTTCTATGTGTCCGCCAACGGAGGGGTTGGAGTGCGCACAATTTGGAAAGTGCCCACCAAGTGTGTGGAGCCAAAACTTGGGGCAGCAGCTGAGAAGAGAGTGAAGAAAGTGAAGGAATGGAGGGAGAAAGAGGGTGCCAGATGGGACGAGCTCGTTCAGCCGTTGGCCTTGTTTGTCGCTGGGTTGGGTCCTCAGCCGATCGGTGGAGACCTCGAACCGGCGGAATTAGAGGCAAGAAGGGAGGCGCAAGAGGCGGAGGATAGGACCATTCTCTCCAAGGCCAATAAATTCAAAGAGTCACAGGTAAACCGGCCGCTGAAACCGAGTGCGAGAGAGGATCCGACCACGCCCCAAACCTCTAGGGGAGAAGGACTTGGGTGGATTTGAGCCACGACCGCCCCCAATTAATCCTTTGAAGGAGAGGGCCTACAAGGAGATGGGGGGTGTGACGAAGAAAAAGAGAGTGAGGAGGAGTGAGGAGGAGCCCGCTTTGAAGAAGAGGAAGGAGGTGACGGCGAAGGAGGCAGAGGAGAAAGGAGTGGGGGCGACTCTAGAAAGGGTGGTTGTCCCAGAGGTGCAGGGGGACAAAGGTGAAGGGGCCCAAGAGGGAGAAGAGCACATGACTGCCATGGGCCCCAAGATGCAAGTAGAGAGTGGGTCAGCTGGCCCTGAGGTGCCCCAAGGAGAGGGAGAGGAGGCCTGGTTGAAGACCGCTTTTTACCATGTCCCAGCCGTGTCTGGGGTGCTGGGAGAAGTAGGAGTAGGAGGCCAGGGCCGCTGCAGATCACCTCTTACGAGTAGTGGAGGAGGCAGCCATGAGCTCTGTGGCAAATTTTACTGAGGCTGAGCTGCTGAGGGGGTTGTGTTCTGCCCAAATAGAGGCGACCTCCTTAGCCGGGGCCCTTCTGAGAAAGGCGGTGGCTGCAAAAGGTGAAGTGGGGCCGTTGAAGGCAAAGTTGGAAGGGGTGGTGGCCCAACTTGAGAACTTAAGGAGGGAGACTGCAGGTTGGCGAAAGGCCGCGCGAAGTGCGTGTGCTAGCGGGTTGGAAGAGATTCAAAAGGCGAAGACAATGGAAGTGTTAGCGATCGTGCAGCGCAATGTTGCCACTCGAGCCCATGCTGAGCTGCTGGCGACCAAGTTGGAGCTAGAGAACGAACGCCGCAAGGTAGTGTCGCTCGAGTTCCAGCTGGCTAGCAAACAGAAGAAGCTGGAAGATGCTAAAAATGCCTGCACGGTCGCCAACGAGCGGTTTGAAGAGGATATGACCAACAATGAAGATCTGCACACCCAGTGGGTCAAAGAAAAGGAGGAAGCAAACCTGAAGATCACTGGGCTGGAGAAGGAGCTGGAAGATGAGCGTGCGAAGGCAATGGAAGAGAAGGCGAGGTTGGAGAAGGAGTTGGAGGAAGAAAAAACCAAGGCAGCCTCTGAAAGGGCAGCATACCCCGACCTGTACGTCGCAGCAGTGGAGCAGTTCAAGGGGTCTGCTGACTTCCAGATGGCGATCGATGCCGCGGTCGCCGGCAACTTGGCGAGAGAAGGGGCTGGGGGGGCTGGCCCGTCAGGAGCGACCGCTGGGGGCAGGAGTGAAGATGAAGTGATCCAGAGCTTCCAGCGGTCGGACTTCTACAAGCACGAAATGGCTGAGTACTGGGACAACGGCTGGAAGATGTTTAAACGCAAAGTAGAAGAGCTGTTCCCAGACTTGGACCTCAACAGTGTAAAGATTGATGAAGACGACGTGGCCCAGACCCCCCTAGACGAGGGCGTTGAAGAAAAAGACCTCGTGTCAAGTGAGGAGGAATGACGGAAGTGGACAAAGTTGTACTCAGAATTTTGGTTTTTTGGTTTTGTTTTTTTTTTTTTTTTAATTGCTGTAATAAACTTGTGTATAAGTTTGTGAATGAATAAAATTATAAGGTTGTGTTTGTCACACTGCTGTCTTTATGTTTGTGAGTCCGAAATGAATGAGAATGGTTTATTCAAATTAGGTTTGACTTGTAAGGAAAGAGGCTGATTTGTAAAAGTTGATAAGTAAGGAAACAATCTGACTTATAAAGGAAGCATGTAAGAATGTAAAAAAATGTGAAGTTTCAAATCACGCCCAAAAATGAAGTTGTAAATCGTGTTGTAAGGGTGTTGATAAATGAAAAATTAAGTTGGGAAATGAAAGCCAAAAAATGTAAAGAGTGTTGAGAGGTGTAAAAGCATGGACCTGGAATTTGACTAAGTATGGCCACTATGCCACAACCATGAAGTTGGCACGAATGGCCTTAACCGAGTTCTTCATTCGTGCTCAGTTTAGGTTAAGCTACGATTAACTGGCTCTTCAAGTAACTCAGTGGCTTTAAGTAACTCAGTGGCTTTAAGTAACTCAGTCTGACTGAGCTCTCTATGCTCAGTCTGGCTGAGGCTTTTCATGCTCAATTGGGCTGGGTTCTTCATGCTCAGTCTAGCTGAGGCGCTTTTCATGCTCAGTCTGGCTGAGGCTTTTTATGCTCAGTCTGGCTGAGGTTTTAAGTGACTCAGTGTGGCCGAGATTTTCGTGCTCAGTCTGACTGAGGCTTTAAATAACTCGGTTTGGCCGGGGTCTTCGTGCTCAGTCTGGCTGAGATTTTTTATGCTCAGTCTGGCTGAGGCTTTTCATGCTCAGTCTGGCTGGGGCTTTAAGTAACTCGGTCTGGCCGAGGTCTTCGTGCTCAGTCTGGCTGAGGCTTTAAGTAACTCGGTCTGGCCGGGGTCTTCGTGCTCAGTCTGGCTGAGGCT